CAAAATTTAAACACATTAATGTAAGAGAAGTCCACTGATTGAAACTGAAAAAGCCACTCAGCTTTATACATGTAGCTCAAAAAAATTATACTGTTAACATTTTACTCAGTCCTTAATCTTTATTTCTCCTTGAGAAGTGACTACTTCAATAATCATAATGTTTTTCTGCTTAGTAGGAAGTCTTTTCCAGCCTAAGGTAACAATTTCATTTTCATTTTGTCTTGAAGTACCTGGTGCTATGAGAACCTGCCTTATGAACTAAAACAAGAACATGACCTTTTCTCTGAAGCAATGTGAGTATAAGGCATACAAACTAGGAATCAGTGAATAAGCAGCAGTGACTAGAGGCCAAAGCCATCCCTCATTCACTATTACACATGGCAGCACTGGGGCTTCAGTCTCACATCCTCATCACCACACCAGAGGAGCCCACCACCAACAACAGCAACCTTCTCTTCCACCCTCCTGCATTTCTCTTGCACACAAGAGCCCTGAAGTTACAGCTGTTGGTCATAATTAATTTCCAAGGCCACCTTTGAAACATGACAAACCTTCTGCCTTCTGATGTATCTGTGGCTTTATTTCTATTATTTCGTTATTATTATTTCTTTATTTTCTTCTTCAGCTGGTGGACAAATAAATTACCAGAGTCTACATAAACAAAGACAGGAAAAATGTACCCCATCTTTTTTCAAAAAGATAAGGCTGGCAGAAGCACAGCTTCAAGCATATACTAAAAGACAGAGATGGTCTGTTAAAACTACTCTTAAAAGAACAGGCAAGTTCTTTTGGCTTTTCCAAGCAAAAAATTATGTACATCAGAGGATTGAGTTCATGAAAAGTGCATGCTTCTGCTCAGTGAGGGTGTGATGAAAACATTCTCACTGGTGTAGGAATATGGACTATCTGTATCACTTTCTGTAAGCAAAATGCAGAATCTCACTTCATAAAATCCTCACTGTAATGTCAGTAAGAAGGCAACTTGTTCCCACTGCTAAAATGGGAAGGGTGACCCAGCTGATTGTCTCTGGAACAACCAGACACACAGTAGTTGCTACTTTTCTCTGCATTTAAGCTTAAGAAATCTAAAGTTTCTATAACAGGAGACAAGACTCATGATCTCCTAAGTTACTTTTGGCTATGCTAATTAGCTATTTCAAGCACTTAAAGTTCATGGTCTCTGCCAAAGTAGGAAGCAGTAACTGTTAAAAAGACCTGAATTTTCATGTGTGTGGCATAGTCTGCCCTTAACCCAGGGAGAATGGTCTGTCACCTTGGCACCACAGGGCTGAGGAGCTCACAACCTTGGCACACCACCTCAAGCCAAACATCAGCTTGACACATTTGGCACAAGCAACAATTTGCCCTAAAAGATGCATTTAAATGATTAATAATATCCTGCTGCCTTAATGAACTTGTGATGTATATTTCATTCACCTTTTTGTAATTTCACAGTTATTTTCTACTGAAACAAGTCTTAAAAAATTACTTTATTCTGAGATTGTAGGAAATCAGCAGTCTTCCTGTTTCAAACAGTTCCTCTGTCTAAGCAGGTGTTTTCTGTTTTAGACCAAAGTATCTATGAATAAAACTAAAAGATACAAATTATACTTTCATGAGGTAGGCAACCTGCTTATTCACCTCTCCCAATCACAGATGCAATCCATTGTACTCAGCTGTAACAGTTTGTTTTGGTCTTAAAAAATAACAAAACTAATTTGTTTCAATAGCCACTAGTGAGACAAGAGGTTAACAGCCTTTTTTGGCCCTTCTTCACATTTTTTTGGAAGAAGAGACATTTTTTACCTATGCTACTAAGAAGCATTTTTTACCTATGCTACTATTCACTGGACAAGTTAGTACAAATATTCATAGCTAATTCCAAAAAAAAACACATATGAGAGAAGTGGCTTCAATTTAGAGCTCTGAGCTTGTACACAAAAGCTAGGGTTGTACATTTGTTATTTTTGCATTTACAAGCATATGCATGCTAAGATTTGGCCTCTTTTTCCTTCAGAGGAAGTACTAAATAACATATTTTAACAAAGAATTTTATTCTGTATGAAGAGGTTTTCATATAACACTATTAGTAAAGAGCAGCAGACAGCATTGAGCTACTGATATTCAGCTTAAAAAGTAAAATTAAATACCTTTCAAAAGTGAGATAAAACCAAAGATTCAATGTACATAATATTTGTACTAAAGAACTCAGCTTGGAATTTTAGGTTGGCAAAACTAACAGAAAATACCAACATAGAACAGAATACACAAAGTTTCCATTAAGTTTCTTTTAAAAAAAATTATGTGGACTAAGGATCACTTCTTTCACTATATTTTCCTATATTCAGGAGAGCAGTAAAGAATTCCTCTAAAGGCTCAGTGACATATGGAAGTTGCTTCTGTAACAGCCATGGATTCAATATTCAAGCTTGTAAAAATGAATTTAAATAGCCACTTAAAGGTGAATTCACTTTAAGCATCAGCTACTGTTTCTTTCCTTTTTCAAAAGACACAGAGCTATTTAGTGAAATTATTCCATATGTTAATGTGAGATTTAATGTATCTCAAAAAACAGGGTGTCACAAAGAATTAATGCATTCCAAGAACATACACCAACAGGATTGCACTGCATCAGTATGGAAATGGAAGTATTACTGTTAAAGTAAATCCTAATTCTCATTCCAGTCTTCTGCTGCCCCTGTTAGAGAAGCAGTGAAAAAATCCCACTTTGTAACTGTTAAAATGCTGTCAGTTCTGTATCCCTGTAAATCTACCACCCTTGCTATCCAAGTTGCCTTACAATGGGGAACACTGGAAAGATTAGGACAAGCAGATAAGGTCTTGACCAGAGTTTTTCACAGGTTTCCTGCATGACTCCATGTGAATTCACAAGGCTATCTGTTCCACAGGAACCCTCTCTGTAAACAAAATTGCCACATGTTGTACACTGGGGTGGGGCAGGTCTGTGTTCATTTCTGCCTCGTACAGGAATGTTTTGAAAGTCATTAGGCAACAAAAAAACCTTTGGCTTGCTACTTAAACATAAAACTTCCCAACTTTATCAGTGAGCTGTTTTATAATAGTGTTGATAAACTCCACTATCTTCACAGATAAAAGGATCCTATAGCAACAGGGCACCTCCCATTGGAGCAGCATGGCAGCACCTACCAACAGAAACAACCAAGTGAAAGTATTTTCCACTCCTGGCTCTCCTCCACTGACACCTTTTTACAGCTTCTAATTTAGAGAAGCTGAAAACATATGTGGTTTTTAATGTGCTTTACAGCAGTCACATCTAGCAAAGATTCAGTCCTTGTGCCTGCTCTGTACTTCAGTTCTCATGACTCATCTCCAGCTTTCCAGAGGAAAGCAAGTTCCTCCTGGGCACCACAGAGCCAGTGATACCTTTTACATGCCCTCAAGAGAAACAGAGATTCTGCCTAAAAACTCACCAAGTTTAAACAGTGATTAAGCCTACACAAACACAGGTGCAAATACAGTAAGAAATTAGTGCAAACAGCAGTGGTCTATTCTGGTTTACAAGTATGAGATCCATGTAAGTCTATCAAGACTGCCTTTAAAAACATTAATTTATACACAGGACTATAAGAACTGCAAAGTTCAGAACACCCAGCCTTCCAAAACTGCAATCAAATAAGTAAATTACATGCACATAAGGCCTAAAACATCCTAACCAGCTTATGTGCTCTAAAATACTAATCTAGTCCCTACAGGTTTAAAAGGACAAGAATAGATATATTTATAAACACACACAAATACAAACATTAAAAGTTTAAGTGCAGCACAAGCAGCTAGCCAGAAAGTTCAAATACATTATTGTCACAGACATCTTTTATGAAAAATCCTTTCCTTAGGATTTTTCCTCCTGAGAAGCTGAGAGGCCTCAGGAACAAAATGTAAACAATGGTTATCTGCTGCTATGGAATGCAACAGGTGGATCTTTGATTGGCCCATGTTGGTTGTTTTTAATTAATGGCCAATCACAGTCAGCTGGCTTGGACTCTCTGTCCGAGACAGAAGCTTTTGTTATCATTCTTTCCTATTCTATTCTTAGCTAGCCTTCTGATGAAATCCTTTCTTCTATTATTTTAGTATAGTTTTAATGTAATATATATCATGAAATAATAAATCAAGCCTTCTGAAACATGGAGTCAGATCCTCGTCTCTTCCCTCATCCTAAGGCCCCTGTGAACATGGTCACATTATCAACATTCCTACACCAAAAGAGAAACTGTTAAGTATTCAGAATGCATTGTGACTACATTTACATACCATTAAAGGAGATAAAATGCCTCAAGTGCCATGACTGGAAGTATGACTCAGGACAGAATTTTGTCCCAGTGCTAAATCTCACAATTAGTGAACACTCAGGCAAAAACTCAGCAGCAGGACAAGAAGTTTTTCAATGTCACTGATAACATAATCTCAGCCCTGCCCAAGTCCTGTATTTGGCTGATTTCAGAATGAAACACAAACCACACAGTGCAATGGTGCAATGGGTGAGAGTCCCCCTTCCCCCCTTTCAGTGGGTGATCAGTGGAAACCCCAAAGCCTTGGACTGGAGGGAGCCCAAACACAGTACAACCCAACAAATGGTATTTTTTCCCCATTTCCCCCAAAAGTAACAGAACTTTGAGGTTTTTTGAACAATTACCCTTGTCTAAGCAGAATAAAAGGTTACATAAACACAACTTCAGGTTTACCTATTCTATTTCTTTGTTACTTTCTTCTAGTAACTTTCTTCTCTAGAGATCTAATTAAGCATCATGTCTTATCCCAAAAGGGGATGAACTGCTGCCCCTTCTCAGCTATACTGCAGACCTCTTCCATTCTCCATTGAGTCATTCTTCATACCATGAAGCTTCTTAGACAGTTTCTTTGATCATGCTCTCTCTAGGCTAGAAGGCTCCACACCAATTTAACCTCTTCTTTCCCAGAAGGAGGGCAACACAGCTGTGAGAGAAGGATGACTGACTTACAGTGAGTGGGTAGGATCACTGCCACAAGAAGAATCCAAATCTCTTCTCTCACAGAAGTGAAAGGATGAGCTATTCCATTAGGGAGGATGTGGCAAGCTCACATGAGTCTTGTGTTGGATCTGAAAAACAAACCAAAAAATCAGATGAGAAATAAAACTCCCTGAGGCATTGTCCTTTCATACCTGAGAAGCACAAGGGAAGTAACAAGTAGGATATATGAATAGCTGAAAATTTTTCTGCTTTGATTTTTGTGTATTCTCCCCTCCCAAAACACTTCCTTAAAATACAGCATCTACAGCTGAGTTTTTCCTGAAAGATATGCATTAAAAATTCAGGTTACCCACATTCTCCCATATAATTAAGCAAGTTGAGTTTTAGTCTACTAATACAGTGTGGGGGCAATGCATTTTGTAACAGAAACCCTTCTTGCTGCAAAGATGCAGAACTCTGCACCAGTGTGTAACTCTACTGAGGCTGTGGGGAACCCACCCAAACACCCTGTCAGCACTAAAACAAGAAAGAAGAATCCTGAGCAGAAATAGATGCTGGGCTACTACTCTTTACAAACCTGTAACATTATTCAGCCATTGCTTTGAAGCAACTAACACAGGGCTTTGATGTTTAGTCAAATGCACTTTTTCTGAAGACCATCCAATTTTACAGTTTTAGCAGCCTGCAAGACTTCTCTGTACAACATGAACACTACCAAAAAGACATTATGACAAAGCTTAACGTGCTCCATTTCAGCTAAAAAGGAGCAATGGTTTAGTCTGCCTTTATTTTCATGGACTGCATGGTCCAATTATTAGATTTGAATTTCTATTGCCCCGAGTCAGTTCCCATATCAGCTTGATGATAAATTTTCCAAAAGTCTGCAATAAATCAGCCCCAGACAAACCAGTGTCTGACTACCACATACTGTTTATAAAAACTAGCACATTGTTAAGCTTTCTCTGAGGCTTTCCTGATCTTTCTTCAAAACCAATATGAGAAAAAGAGAATTCTTCAAATTACTTGTGACAACAGTTTTGAATTTGAGTTACTGTTACAAGTTACTTTTTCTTAGCTACTATTTCTACATGCTGTCATAGACTACAGCTTTAATTCAGTAATGAAATTAAATTCTTCTGCATTTCTTGAATTTACATTACTGCTCTTATTTAATATTATTCTTACAGTCTTAGCATATTCTCCAAGGAAAAAGGAAATTCTTTTCCCTATTTTCAACTCAGAGTTTTGAGCTACACTTTTGCCTTCTCCTATCATCTGTCTACATTTAATATCTCCTAATTTCACATTTTACACTCAATTTCTTGCTTCTTCTATATCGATTCCTAAAAATGCCACTGTCCCCATCTGGTTTGTAGCTTAAACATCTGTGATTTAATTTTAGGATAATTTAACACAGGAACTTGCATATTTTTAATAATCTAAGTATTAAGGGTGGAAGTTTTTTAAACTAGAGTAAGAAAGAACACTTGATGTGTCAACTTTGATATTTTTGATTAATCTAAGGTTCTTTCATTGTACTGCCTTTTAAGATTAGAGTCCTAAAATAGCTATTAATATAAGAGCCTATTGACATTTTTAGCCTGTAGGAACATGCAGTGGGCAGAGGCAGCTGAAATAACAACATATTTGAGCGATGAACCAGCTTTATGATTTTATTACTCAGACTTTCCCAAATCTATGGCTGGCATTTTTCCCAGTAACTCAAAAATTAAGCTGTTCTACATTCAAAACTTCCAACTAATCATATATTAAAAACTTCTCATGGTTAAGGCAACAGAATAACCTCACAAAAAGCCTTCAAAAAAAAAACCCAACAAGCTAGATCTCAAACATTTGTGCTATTTGCATGAACACTGTTAGAAAAATAGGATTACAATTATGTTAAAACAATTATGTGAAAAAAATTATTAAATAAAAATTATCTGATACCAGTTACAAAGAACTATGTTAGTTACTAGGAGTATATTACATATCATATTGAAGTAAGAGGGACCCTGGAAGGAGCCTAAAGGCAAGTGACAGATATAAGGAGACACAGCCTATAAGCACCCTTCACTGGGCACCTTAAGCCATCAGCAGCTCAGGAGACCAAGGCTTGTATCAACTTCTTAGGCACTGCATAAAGCCAACTGATGCCTTTGCCATTCCACAATCTTTCCCCATTTTTGCATAGACATCATGTTCTCCTCCTTCCAAAATGAAATTTCCCCAACAGTTTGCTGGTCAAAAAAGGCTCCACGCTCCCCCTTGGTCCCCAAACCACTGTACTCAAGAGATCTCTTCTGATCAGTGAGCATAAAGAAGCACTCCCATGATTTTGTTTCTGAATATTTTGCAACACAGGTACACAAATTCTAAAACCATCTGGGAAATTGAGATCAGCTCAATGCACTGCTAATTGATTTTTAACTTTTTCTGTGCCTGTGCAAGAAAAAAGCAACCCATAGTTGTAAAGACATTCTCAAAAATGAAAAACTCTAGAGCCTGATGCACTGGGATAGAAGAACAAACTGAGCAATAAACAGATCTTGCAGTGGATGGCTATAGATCCTGTGAGCATCACAGAGGGATGTTCATTTAATGCAGAATGGAGAAAATTAATTATTTGGTACCCGAGAGAAAAAAAGAATGAACACGCAATAAGTGACCTTTTAACAAATCTACAGCAATTAATTAAGCTGCTTTGTACTATATTAGTCCTAAGGAAGGACTAATATTTCTAACTGTTTCCAGAAGAGCCTACCAGGAGTGTAACAAGGACTCAGTCTGGCAATAGACTGCAATTTGGTGTGAGTCTGCATCAAGCAGAACTCCTCTTGGGGAGGAACCAGCTAATTCTCTCCCTTCTCAAAGTTAGCCATTTATGCCCTCAGCATGGTCTACTAAAGCCAGCAGCAACATGACTACAGAGAGAAATTAGAGTAGAACATTAATTCCATTAATAACTGAAGAAGGAAAAAGCCAAATTTTTAGCCATAATGTTTGCAGAGTCATTTCACTGCACCAACATGCTGCAAGCATAAAGATGATGAAAAGAGCAAACCAGGCATCTGTGACTGGAGGGTAGAGCAGAACTATCTCTTTCAAAAGCAACATGGGACTACAGACAGGGTTTACACAGCAAATGGAAGTAGGAACAAAGTGGGAACAGTAAGCAAGCAAATAACTTCTCCAGGACAACCTGCACCAGACACACCTTCTAAAATGCATAATTTCATGAATGTAAGCAGAAGTTAACAGTATTGCCAAGTCTGACTGAAACCAAACATTAAAATCTTACTGTTTGCCTGATGGATAAGCTAATCTCAAGTGTCATTATACAGTGCTAGCTTTAATTGCTCCCAGCTAAATATAGCTTTCAGAATTTAATAGCTCCCCCTCAGCTTTTCAGTCTTTCAAGGAGGGAAAAACCTTCTCGTTAGAAAAAGCACCCAGGCATGCAGAGTGGCATGTCAGCACAGCAAGGCAGGAAGCAAACCATTTGGATGATTACATTAGTCTCCAACACTCATTCAGAGCTCCTGTTTTTCCAGAGACCAAATGTTTCCCTGTTCCACCACTCTGCTTCCAGTTACAGCAGGTAATGGAAGCATGCATACTTTTTCAAACTAAGCCATTTGGCTGCTTTGTTAGCAGATTGTAAATCTTGCTTGCCCTGTGCTTCCAGTCAAAGATGTGTCTTTTGTGGTGCCCACACACTTCTTCCTGTGCCACCTCACTGGGCACCATGGGGCAGGAAGAGGAGCAAGGCTACACACTCATATACAGGCTGCCCCTTCCCTGCAGCCCCTGGATTGGCACAGCTTGCATGGGAGGGTCCAAAATCTGCTGGAACAGCTGAGACTGCAGCACTCTGATAAAGGCATGAAACAAATTCTCTCCTCTGCCTTCTAATACCCAATAAAGATCTCAAAAAATGTAACGAAAAGTTCCATATAGCAAGCTTCATTTTCCTCTCTCTGTGCTGATAACGGGTTTCACTCAGAAAATTTGGCTGACAGCTTAGAAATGTGTTCTGTGAATTCAGCATTTCTGTTCACCTTCATTTTAGAGGTCATTATGTAATTAAAGTGCTCACAGATTTTCTACAATCCATGGAGTTAAATTAAAAGTAACCACTGCTGCAATAACAAGTCTTCCCACTTTCCCTCAGGCCAGAACTCCAAACTTTGTTCTCTCCCCCCCATACTCTCATCTGACCATCTTACTATTTTCTCTCTGGTTTCATCCATCCCTTTCTCCTTTACTAAGTGGGGAAAAGAATAATAATTTTCTTTATGGAAAATAAAGTATTTACCAGACCATATGAATCACCAAATGCCACATTACCTGGCCCTTCACTTGAGCTGTAAAACTCCCCAGGATTGGCTGTGTTAGAGCTGTGCAAGCACTTTACAAACACTTCCTGGAGGGCTGCCAAGAAGTACCTACTACACTGAACAAGACCAAAGGTAGAATGCCACTGATTTTCTGCCCTCTGACCTACCATTTGTGAGGTGCAGACCAGGATGAATAGAACAGGTTAAAGGAACTATGTCTGTTTGCTGTTTAGGAGAGGTTTTAAAGCGAGCCTCCTGACACGTTGCCTCCATGATGCTGTTCTGCACTGGGAAATCTGTGTTGTGCTGCTAGCTGAGCTGCCCCAGAACAGAAAGGCTCCCTACTGTCAGTGCAGGCACAGACTTCATTTACCAACCTGTGGTAAAGCACAGAATCATGGCACTCATTCCATTAAGATTCTTCCTCCTGAAGTAACAAATCAAAGTGTGGATAAATAGCATCAAAATTAGGGATGAGTACTGGAGGCACTTTGTATACTAGATCTGGCTACTCTTACAGAACACGTTTTTATTTTAAAACTCTGCTGATCACAACAGACTATTTGGAACAAATGAAGGTTAAAAAATCCCAAAGTGTATAAAACATCATGCCTGTACTGTGGATAAATACAGTCTTACAGTATTTCTGTGTTAGCTGCCATGAATCAGAGCTCAGTGCCCCAGA